AGTGGTGAGAGAGGGCATCCTTGTCTGGTGCCACATTTCAAGGGGAATGCTTCCAGTTTTTGCCCATTCAGTATGATATTGACTGTTGGTTTGTCATAAATAGCTTTTATTATTTTGAGATACGTTCCATTGATACCTAGCTTATTGAGGGTTTTTAGCATAAAGGGCTGTTGAATTTTGTCAAAGGCCTTCTCTGCATCAATTGAGATAATCATGTGGTTTTTGTCTTTGGTTCTGTGTATGTGGTGAATTACGTTTATAGACTTGCGTATGTTGAACTAGCCTTGCATCCCTGGGATGAAGCCTACTTGATCATGGTGGATAAGCTTTTTGATGTGCTGTTGCAATCGGCTTGTATTTTATTGAAGATTTTTGCATCTATATTCATCATGGATATTGGCCTGAAGTTTTCTTTTCTTGTTGTGTCTCTGCCGGGTTTTGGAATCAGAATGATGTTGGTCTCATAAAATGATTTGGGAAGAATTCCCTCTTTTTGTATTGTTTGGAATAGTTTCAGAAGGAATGGTACCAGCTCCTCTTGGTATGTCTGGTAGAATTCGGCTGTGAACCCGTCTGCACCTGGGCTTTTTTTGGGTGGTAAGCTCTTAATTGCTGCCTTAACTTCAGACCTTGTTATGGGTCTGTTCAGGCTTTTGGCTTCTTCCTGGTTTAGGCTTGGGAGGAGGCAAGTGTCCAGGAATTTATCCATTTCTTCCAGGTTTACTAGTTTATGTGCATAGAGTTGTTTGTAATAATCTCTGATGATGGTTTGAATTTCTGTGGAATCTGTGGTGATATCCCCTTTATCGTTTTTTATTGCATCAATTTGGTTATTCTCTCTTTTCTTTTTTATTAATCCGGCTAGTCGTCTGTCTATTTTGTTGATCTTTTCAAAAAACCAGCTCCTGGATTTATTGATTTTTTGAAGGGTTTTTTGTGTCTCTATCTCCTTCAGTTCTGCTCTGATCTTAGCTATTTCTTGTCTTCTGCTAGACTTTGAGGTTTTTTGATTTGCTCCTCTAGCTCTTTCAGTTTTGATGATAGAGTGTCAATTTTTGATCTCTCCTTGCTCCTCATGTGGGCACTTATTGCTATATATTTTCCTCTAGAGACTGCTTTAAATGTGTCCCAGATATTCTGGTATGTTGTGTCTTCATTCTCGTTGGTTTCGAAGAACATCTTTATTTCTGTCTTCATTTCATTGTTTATCCAGTCAACATTCAAGAGCAAGTTGTTCAGTTTCCATGAAGCTGTGCAGTTCTGGGTTAGTTTTTGAATTCTGAGTTCTAACTTGATTGCACTGTGGTCTGAGAGACTGTTTGTTACGATTTCCGTTCTTTTGCATTTGCTGAGGAGTGATTTACTCCCAATTATGTGGTCAATTTTAGAGTAGGTGTGATGTGGTGCTGAGAAGAATGTATATTCTGTGGATTTGGGGTGGAGAGTTCTGTAAATGTCTATTAGGTTTGCTTGGTCCAGGTCTGAGTTCAAGTCCTGGATATCCCTGTTAATTTTCTGTCTGGTTGATCTGTCTATTATTGACAATGGGGTGTTAAAGTCTCCCACTATTATTGTGTGGGAGTCTAAGTCTCTTTGTAAGTCATTAAGAACTTGCCTTATGTACCTGGGTGCTCCTGTATTGGGTGCATATATATTTAGGATTGTTAGCTCTTCTTGTTGCATTGATCCTTTTACCATTATGTAATGTCACCCTTTGTCTCTTATGATCTTTGTTGCTTTAAAGTCTAATTTATCAGAGATGAGAATTGCAACTCCCGCTTTTTTTTGCTCTCCATTTGCTTGGTAAATCTTCCTCTATCCCTTTATTTTGAGCCTTTGTGTATCCTTGCATGTGAAACGGGTTTCCTGAATACAGCACACCGATGGGTTTTGTCTTTTTATCCAATTTGCCAGTCTGTGTCTTTTGATTGGGGCACTTAGTCCATTTACATTTAGGGTTAATATTGTTATGTGCGAATTTGATACTGCCATTTTGGTGCTAGCTGGGTGTTTTGCCCTTTAGTTGAGCTGGTACTTGTTGTTCCTTTATATGTGTAAGAGGCTCTTTCAGGCGCTCTTATAGAGCTGGCCTGGTGGTAACAAAATCTCTGAGTACTTGCATGTTCCCAAAGGATTTTATTTTTCCTTCACTTATGAAGCTTAGTTTGGCTGGATAGGAGATTCTGGGTTGAAAGTTCTTTTCTTTAAGGATGTTGAATATTGGCCCCCACTCTCTTCTGGCTTGTAGGGTTTCTGCTGAGAGATCCTCTGTGAGTCTGATGGGCTTCCCTTTGTGGGTAACCCGACCTTTCTCTCTGGCTGCTCTTAGCATTTTCTCCTTCATTTCAACCCTGGTGAATCTGACGATTATGTGCCTTGGGGTTGCTCTTCTTGACGAATATCTTTGTGGTGTTCTCTGTATTTCCTGGACTTGAATGTTTGCCTGCCTTGCTAGGTTGGGGAAGTTTTCCTGGATAATATCCTGAAGAGTATTTTCCAGCTTGGATTCATTCTCTTCGTCGCATTCAGGTACGCCTATCAAACGTAGATTAGGTCTTTTCACATAGTCCCACATTTCTTGGAGATTCTGTTCATTCCTTTTTACCCTTTTTTCTCCATTCTTGCCTTCCCGTTTTATTTCATTGAATTGATCTTCGACCTCTGATATCCTTTCTTCTGCTTTGTCAATTTGGTTGTTGATACTTGTGCATGCTTTGCGAAGTTCTCGTGTTGTGTTTTTCAGCTCCATCAATTCACTTATATTCCTTTCTATTTTGTCCATTCTCATTAGCATTTCGTCAAATCTTTTTTCAACGTTCTTAGTTTCTTTGCATTTGGTTAGAACATGTTCTTTAAGTTCACAGAAGTTTCTTACTACCCACCTTCTGAAGTCTGATTCTGTCATTTCATCACACTCGTTCTCCCTCCAACCTTGTTCCCTTGCTGGTGAGGAGTTGTGATCCCTTGTAGGAGGAGAGGTGTTCTGGTTTCGGGTGTTTTCATCCTTTTTGTGCTGGTTTCTTCCCATCTTTAAGGATTTATCCACCTGTTGACTTTGTAGTTGCTGGCTTTCAGATTGGGTCTCAAATCTTTCAGATTGACGTTCTGTTTGTTGATGATGAGGTTATTTCTGTTTCTTGGTTTTCCTTCTGACAGTCTGGCCCCTCTGCTGTAGGTCTGCTGAGGTTCACTCCAGGCCCTGCTTGCCTGGGGTTCACCTGCAGCAGCTGCTGAACAGTAAGGGTTGTTACCAGTTTTCTTCTTCTGCTATCTTTGTCCCAGAAGGATACCCGCCTAGTGTCAATCTGATCTCTCCTTTATGAGGTGTCTCTTTGGATATATAGGGGTCAGGGAGCTGCTTGAGGAGACGGTCTCTTCTTTATAGGAGTTCAAGTGGTGAGCTGTGAGCTCTGTTGTTCATTCAGAGCTGCTGGGCAGGTACGTTTAGGTCTGCTGCAGCAGAACTCATAAACTGCTTTTTGTTCCCATGTGCTCTGTCCCAGGGATTTAGGGCTTTATTTATGAGTTTCCGTTGTGCTGCTGCCTTCTTTTTTTTTTCCTTCAGACCTGCCCTGCCCAGCAAGGAGGCAGCCTAGTCACTGTCTGCCTGTAGAGGCTTTGCTGAGCTGCTGTGGGCTCCGCCCAGCTGCTTAGTGAGCTTCCCTGCAGTCCTGTTTATATGGGTGTAGTTAGAACTGCTTTGGCAATGGTGGCCCACCTCTGTTGAGGCAGAGTCTCTCTGCTGTGGCGGGTTGCCTCAGCAATGGTGGGTTGCCTTGGCAACGGTGGGCTGCTTCAGCATTGGCCGACTACCTCCGTCGTGGCGGGCTGCCTCGGTAATGGCGGATGCCCCTCCCCCACAGAGCTGGACCGTCCCAGGTTCAGCTGCACTTGCTGTGAAACTCTCTATCCAGAGTTTCTGGTTGCTGTTCTTTTGTGGGGTTGGGACCAGCCGAGCCTGATCGCCTGGCTCACTGTCTCAGAGCCTTTTTTAAGTTGGTGTTCCAGTCGCCTGTTGAAGAGGCGCCGGGGTCTGTTTGTTTTCCCCTGCGGCCACTCACTGCACTGTCTTAAACAGCGGCACTGAGGTTTGTGGCACTTTTTTTTTTTTTTTTTGCCCTGGAATCTACTGTCCTCGTTCCCTGCTCAGTCCCCTTTTTAAACAGATGAATGGGCAACTTCCCGTGGCTCCAATTGCCAGCCAAAAGGGCACCCGGACTGGTGTATTTTGTATGGAGAACCGCTGCTCCAGGGCGCTGACAAAGCAGCCGTGCGGGGCAAAGCAGCGGCGCCGGCCGGGACAGCTGCGCTGGCCGAAACAGCCGCACTGGTGACCTGTGGAGCTCCTCTGCCTGGGAATTTCCTAGTCTGTGGGCAATAAAAATGCGGCATCCACTCACCCTCTGCGCTTTCACTGGGAGCTACAATCCTGAGCTGTTCCTAAACGGCCATCTTGGATCCTCCCCTGTATTTGCTATTCTTTACAAAACTATTTACCTTTACATTCACGAGCATAGTTATAATAGCTGATTAAAAATTTTTGTCTGCCAATTATTTATCTGAGTATCAGTTTGCATTGATTGTTTCTGGCTTACATTTTCTTTCTTTATATGCCTACATTTTAGATAGTATCCAGAAAACTGGATGATATGTTGCAGAGCCTCTAGGTTCTGTTATATTCCTCTGAAGAGTGCTGATTTGTTTTAAGCATGTAGCTAACTTAACTACTTCAAACTGTAAACTGTCTCCAGTGCACAGCAACAGAAATCTCTGTTCAGTTCTAGCCTTAGCTGGGCTATTTGCATACACCGTTCATGAGTCATCCAATGACTTATGCAGAGTTTATACACAGAACAAGTTACTTCACCTCTTTGGCTCTCATTTTTTCAAGATTCACCCTCCCCACCTCACTTTCTGGTTACTCCTCACTTTCTAGTTACTATAATCACCATGAACCCTATCTCCTGGTTCTTCATGCTGGTAAGACTACAGATTTTCTATTCATGTTTTAGTAACCTTTATTTAGCATCGATTGGGACTGGCTTTCCAGCACAGAGCTGTAATAATGGGCATTTTCCCATTGTCATGTCCTTCTTCCAATGGAGATTCTCCTCCATTGTCTGTCTGCTTGGCTGCTCTTCAGTGCCTCTGGATAGCTGCTTTTCATATTTTGTCCAAAACCCATAGTTGTTATGTGCAGGAGGATTACAGAAGCCATGGCTTATTTTATTTCTAGTTTGAGTTTGTTGGTTTCCCATGGCTTTTTTTCTTTCTTCTTCATTATTTATTACTTTTTCCTCTCTGCATCCCAGGGCAGCTCTTCTGGTGCCCAGAGTCTTACGGCCTCTCCTGAAAACAGTCCCAACAGACTTCATCATTCTAATCACAGAGGCTCAAATCAAGTCCAAGAGGCCATCCAGGGGATGAGGATATGTTATCAATGTCCTTGTCTTCATTTTATTTGAAAGCAGCATAGTTTATAGATCAGCAGCCATTTGTTCAATTCAGCAAATATTTGCAGAGTGTGTATAAGGTACAAGGCTCTGTTTCAGGCCTTTTGGATACACTGATAAACAAAACAGTCAGGTATCTTTGCCCTTGGGAGTTAAAATTCTAAAGAAGAATACACATAATAAACAATAGACAGAATAAATATTACAGTATGTGGTATACAAGGTGGTAATTGACCACCTTCATCCTCATCCCCAAAGCAGTTTTGATTGTTTGAAATCAGTCATTCCCAACATCCTTATCTCTCTTCACTTTGTTGACTTGTTAGAGTTGTTTTCCCAGAACTAAGAAATAGGACATGGATCCTGAAGGAAAAGCACTCAGCCTCAGTTGCAGCAGTGACTCAATTTCATCACTGGATAGGAAAAAAAGTGGAAGGAGCTAAAGAGAAATCCTAAAGGGATAGAGGGCAGACAAAAAACTACAGTTTATGTCCTAAATTCGACATACTCTCCACTCGCCATGTGACCTCTATTCTACTTTTACTGCATGGATAATACAATCAGGTAGAGTAGTTTTATCACTCTGGTGGTATTGTTTCCAGAAACTGAGAAACTTATTTTTTTTTTTGGCACAGATTATTTGTGTGTGTGTGTGTGTGTGTGTGTGTGTGTGTGTGTGTGTGTGTTCTATTTGTCTTAATACTTGTTTTTCATATATGTGTAATATATATGTGTATGTGTATGTATTTTACTTACATCAATACATGTATCTTTTTCGTGTATTACATATGTATATGTAGGTATGGGTGTATCTATTATATTACAGGCCTTCGACAAGTCACTCTGTGTTAATTATTTTCTTATTTTCTGATGCTTTGACATTTTGGGATCTTACTGATCATGGAGAGACTGCCACTTCCAGGGTTAGCCAATACCTAGAGACAGTAAACACCTCCCCAGGAGTGAACCTTTTGTATACAAACCAACCAATCCAGAGACCATGCCATCAACCACCTCCTCACCTTCTTTATCCTCTCAGGGACACTATTTCCCTGTCCTACTTACCTTAGGGCCAGGTATCAGGAGATATTGGATGGTTCCTGTGCCCCAGAGCCTGTGGAAATTATCCAAACTAGCCCATCCTAACTGCCTACCCTGCTTGTCTTTCCCACAGAAACTTCAATAAAGGCTCCTGCCCACATTTACCCCTCACTCCCTCTGCCTTCTGCCTAGTCTTGGTGCTTCTTCCATGTGGCCCTGTATGGTGTACCCTGCCTCATGTTTCTAGGGATCCATGAATATAAATTCCTCCTTCAAGACAGTTATTCTTGTGTCCACGTATCTCAGCATAGTTGATGAAAGCAAATCCCACGTGCATCTAAAAACACATTGTTAAATCTTTTTTGAGGTATAGTGTTCTCAGAATGACAATTTTACATATATGTGCATCATCATCATTGTCATTGCTCACATTCAATAAATTTACTATGGTCCAAGCATCATGCTAGGTACTTTGGGGTATTTAATCCTCATGAAAACCCCTCAAAGTAGGTGCTCTTATTACTCTCACTTTACAGATGAAGAAACTGAGGTGTAAAAAGGTTAACTCACCCAAGCTGGAACTAGGATGTAAACTCAGTTCTGCTTAACAAAGCCATTATTCTTAATGGAAGGTCAGCATTTTTTTTGTAAAAGGCCAGAAAGTAAATATTTTAGGCCTTGTAGGACTTATGATCTCTGTTGCCCCCACACATCTCTGCTGCTGCTGTAGTGTGAAAGCAGCCATAGATGATGCATAAATGCATGGGCAGGACCCTGTTCTGATAAAACTTTATTTGTAAAAATAGGTGGGGGGGGGGGGCTGGGATTTTGTGCGTGTGTCAGTTTGAGTGCCCCTGCTCTTAACCACTAGGCTTCACTGTCTCCATAATGGCAAAGATTCTGATTAAAACTGAATACTCTTCTCTCTCACTTCATAACAGTGCTCAGCAGAGGCAAGACCACTCGGGGCCTCAGTCCTTCCTTTAGTCCTTCACTGTGAACTTCAATCCCTTAGGTCTTGGTGGGAACAGGAACTTGACCTATACTGCAGCTCTGAACTTTATAATTCTGGATTTTCAAGAATTGAGCTCAGCTACAAGGAGTTGTGTGCCATCGTAGAAAAGGAAAGAGTATGTCAACGTCCATAAGGGTGGCTCAATCTGCCTAAAGGAGGCATTCAGATGAAAATTGTCAAAGAGCCTTCTCTTACTTCTTTGTCTCCAAAACAGTACACTAACTGGTCTAGCATGTCATAGCCAATGGGTGAACAAGCCAGAAATTCTGTTTAGGGAAAAGGGCATGCTTAGTGATTTTTAGTACACATATTTACCTTGCTAGGCATGTGAAAACCCTTATTTTACCCACAATATCACTATGGGGTAGGTGTCGTAGTTTAGGGATAAAGGAGGAGAACTGAGAGGTAGGGATAAAGGAGGAGAGTTGAGAGGATGTCAATATCCAGAGGATTGCAAGCAAGGGTCTCTCAGGACAATGCCTCATTTTGGAACATGGCATATCCAGAAACTAGCTATCATTAGTAGTTATGATGACAAATTCAATTACCAAGTGAACAGGCAATCTGTTCTGACACATAGGCCAGAGTACCAATTTATTTATTTGTCTGGGGATATTCATATCAAATGGGGAGTTGGTTCAACAAGCATTTCTTGAACACCTAATATGTGCTAAGGCCTTGGGAACAAAGATACAGAAGAGGACATGGTATTTGCATTGAAGGATCTTTGAGTGTCACTGCATGCCACTGAGTGATGTGATGAGTGCTAGGTGGAGACGATGAGTCAGGGACAATCTAAAAGTGAGTCACACCCCAGTACAGATCTACCTGTTGGGGCAAACTCATCTGGAGCCTACCCATGGGATAGATGGAACGGCACTGAACTGGCTGCCCAGGGGATCTATAGCCTTTGCTCTCCTCCATCCTCTTCGGAGACACTGAACACTAATGATAATGGCTCGTGTACTCTGATGCATGCAGCACTGTTTGCTAAGTACCTTACATACATGACCTGGCAAACCAAATCTGAATTCCTGAGAGTGATAGCGTAGGCCTCCTATGATTGAGCCCCAACATTACATGCTAGCTTTTTCTGCTCTATATGCACCCTAACCTGCAGCCGTATCACATTTCTTTCCATTAATTTCATGTTCTAGCTTTAGTTGACACGATATCTTCCACCTGGATTGCCTCAGTCTGTCATTAAGCCAGCCATCTTTCTATGCCCAGCTCACATGCTCATTCTTCCTTGAAAATTTTCCTTGACAGGGATCTGTCTTCTGAACACCTATAAAACTTGGCGTTTCACTCAATGGCACTTAAATCCCTTTTAAAAAATCATCTTAACACTCTTCATTCTGATTATAAAAGTAAAACGCTGATCAATGTAAATGACTCAAACAATAATGGTGAAATTTTGGTAAAAACATCACACTCCTCTCATTTTAAGTTCCTCAAAGACAAGACTGTGTTTAATTCATCCTGATATCCCCTGGAATCTGCTCACTTTAGCACCAGAATTTCTACTCCAGCCTTCGTTCATAGTAAGAATTACAAAAGTATTTATTTATTTGAATAAATGGATTATACTTAGGGCTTTTATTGCTAAACCTAGAGCTGATTTTAAAAATTTATGTGAGGTTTATGATTAATGATGCTATTAACATATCTTTACTTCTAATATTATAATACCTCTTCTCTAAAACATTACTGATATAATTATTTTGTTGCCAGATTAATGCAACGCCTGTGCTTTCTTGGAGTGTCAGGCCAAATCCATCTCTGATTATTTGCTATTACTGGAAAGTTTATTGCCTCTATCTTCAGACCACTTTAGAGATGAATTACTTTATTCATGCTGAGAATGTTTCAGTACTCCGGGTTGTTCACCTTTCAAAGTTCCTCAGGTATCTGTAAGAATTTGTAGTTAAAATATTCCAGGGTTGTAGGTCTTAACGTCATTGAAAATTGACTGCACATTTTTATCATTAAATCATAAGCATCAGGTGACTTTCACATTTCTGCTGAAGGCATGTTTCTTATTAGGGTAAAGCTGTTCAGTCTGTACAATTAATGGTTCATAGCACACTAGGGAACATTTATTAATTTTCATTTTACTTGTTTTTTGAAGGTTATGGGGTTTAAGGGTTCTAAGTTGGACTTATTGAAATTTTAAAAGGTGTAAATAGGTAAATATTATGGTTCCTGAAAAAGTGCGACATTTTTCCCTTTGAGCATGTGATTAATATTACTAATAAAAATGTCATCAGCCTTCCCTACCAGGGTGATGCTGTTAGAAAGACATTTTGTGTGTACATGTGTAGTTTGTTTTCCATATCTAATATGACATTTTGAGAGACAACTTAATGTAAGAAAATTACTTTTAAAAATAGATTCTTGATGCTTTGTTGTTCTTATGCAGTAATTCTAAAGGAAAAATTGTATCTTCCTGTACATTTACTTAAGATTTTGCTTGACTGCATTTGGTGCTTATATCAGTGTTTGAGAAATAAGAATTTTGTCTCTCATCAGATCATGCAACATGAATACCATTCTTGTTGAAGATTGAATTTCTGGAAAGCAGGCCTCCTTTCTATGCTTTTGTGGATAGATCATTTATCTTATAGTTAAACTTGGTTTTATTCATAAGCTAGTTTCTTAAATTATTTCTTATGTTACTATTCATAGTACATGGCATTGGTTATATATAGTAAACTTATTTTGGCTTAGATCAAGCAATACTTTTTAAACAGCCATATTGAGATATAATTGGTAAACCATTATAGTTCACACATTTAATGTGCACAATTCAGTGGTTTTTAATCTAGTCACAGAGTTGTATAATCATCACAAACATCTAATTTTAAAACATTTTTGTCATCCCCCAAAAGAACTCCCATGGCCTATTGTCAGTCACTTCCCATCAGCCCTAGGCAACCACTAATCTACTTTTTTTATTTTTTGAGACAAGGTCTTGCTGTGTTGCCCAGGCTGGAGTGCAGTGGAGTGGTCTCAGCTTACTGCAACCTCTGCCTCCAGGGTTCAAGCTATCCTCCTGCCTCAGCCTCCCTAGTAGCTGGGACTACAGGTGCTCACCACCATGCCCAGCTAATTCTACTTTCTATCTTCATAGATAAAGCAGCATTTTAACAACACATCTTAATCATCTCAAAGTTTTGGTGATTTCATGACCTTATTAAAACTAATATATTCAATATAATATTCAGGTATATAATGGCATTTTTCATCTTTTACAATTTTTATCTTTAAAATGAAGCATCTGGTTTGTCACAATTTCAAATCCACAGTTAAACGGCCGGAGTGTTAAGTTTGCCTGTGCTGCCCTTCTTCTTGGTTAAGAGTTTTACATTTGCACCTACACCAATGCAGAAATGTTTAAGTTAGAAATATGGTGAATATTTGAATGGTTAGCATGAAACATACTCACAGCACAAAGTCTGAGGCAAGTGTATCGTCTTTCCTTTTTATTCTTCAGTTTCTTCTCCCTCCCTCTCAACACATAAACACACACACAGACACACACTCACATTCATACACAGGTGCATGCACATACACACACACACAGTAGTCGAGGTCACACTTACTGAGCAGAATTTATCCAGTGACAATAAGAAGTAGCAATATATGTCTAGTATTGATATATTATTATGCAGACTGTAAAAATAACATGTGTTGTGTATTTTGATTGCATACATATATGGCTTATTTTTAAATCAGTGGGAGTTACAGAACACTCTCTAGAGGTTAGAAGTGTTAAAGCAGAAAGCAAAACTACATAAAATAGTATTCTAGGTAGATGTTTGATTCTACCTATTTTATTCATGGTATTATCAAAAAACCTGGAGATCATTCAACTAGTTAATCATTTGTTCCACACATATTTATTGATTAATGACAACATAAAGGGCATAGTGCAAGACCCAATAACAATAAACAACAAACAGCTAGAATTCAGCTTCCTCAGGAACTGTTGTCCAACTTCAGAACATAAAAGACAGGCCTTTCTTTCACAAGGAAAGAGCCAATGAATCATGAATCTTTTCCTTTTTCTTGAAAAACCACAGCCTGTATTTTACTCGAAAATTCAACATAATTGGTATATACCCATCTTTTTAGGTGAATTAGGCCTTAACTGACAGATAACCCACTTTGTTCTAAAATTCAACAAACTCTCAGAAAATCTTATTCCACACAATCTTTTGAATATGTCATTTGCCATTTATATTTGATGGCCTTAAGAAAAAAACTTATAAAAAGGTATTAATGCAAGTAGATAATAAAGCTGAATTCTATAAATCTATAGCAGCTTACAGTAATCATTAAAGCATGCAAAAGCCTTTCATCTATTCAAAATTATGCAGTGCACAGAATGTCTGCTAAGGTGCATGACAAGTCAGAGTTAAATATATATTAATAAATGAATTAGCTTCATAAATAATAGCCATAATGACATTTTAGGAGACAATAAGTCTGAGGATTGTCAGAAAACGGTTGATGTATGAGCTTCACGTCTCAGTGATTCTTCAAAATGAATAGGCTTTGCGAGATAGTTCAGACCCGCGACCAGCCTATTTCCTTGAATAATTTACTTGTTGTCAATTTGTACAGCCACATTACACATGCAAATTGTGCTGCCTGTGCAAACACCACTTGGAGATGATAAAAACAAATTTACGAAGGCTATAGAAGAAGGATTTATTTCACTTTCTCACCCAGGTCAAGCAATACATGTATCTGACGATTGTGTGTACCCAATTTTGTTGTAATTATATCAGCAAATTATTCCTTATAATCTTATTATTTTTAGCAGTCTCCTTGTGCTTGGGATAATTAGCTTTCTTCACTCAGTGTAAAAACAATTCAACTTGCCAGCCAGGTAGGGCATAGCTCCATTATCTGTTTTGGGTTTAAATTTATTCCCTATATTCTTGGACACTTTGTGTAAATTAAAAATTTCATAGTCCCTAATACTGTACACGCTGTTCATTCAGTGATGAATTAAGGCCCCTAAACCTCTCCGTTTGCTATTAGATATCTCACCCACTTTATATGTTAATCTGTGCTAATGAATTCCACAACCCCTAGCCACAGTGAGATGACTAAAATTATTACCACTTACAGAGATATGCCTTTTTCATTTAAAGTTCAATTCAAATTGCTCGCATAAACAGTCTGCCACACAAAGATACCTCCTATAAAGGAGAGTTACTTACCTATAAGTAGAGTTCTCTGAAGGTAGTATTATCTTTGGATGCACATTCCTGGGTCACGTGCCCTCAGGTCTGTGGCATGGGGGGAGAGAATTCATTGCTGATGGGCAGGTCTTTCTTTGCTTGGGGCCCTTCATTAGCTCTGTGGCCTGTATTCCTGAGGGTTTTGTGCCACGCCCCTTTACCCAACCAATCCTGTCCTTAGCACAACAGACCCCAAGGGAAATAGTGGGGTAACAGAACCACCTAATGAGAATTGTAGGACTGGTTACCATCAACGATGCTGAGGAGCCAGAAGCAGCCTCCATTGTTGAAGTTACCTGTAAAATAAACTGCCCAGTAACTGAAAAAAAAAAAAAAAAAAAAAAAAAAACTAGTTTCTTTTTACATATACTATATAATCTAAAATCTATACTTTTTTTTTACTTTTTGCAGAAGTAGCATTTTCATTATGGAAATAATACATTTTCATCATGGAAAACTTGGAAAATATAGATAAACAAAAAGAATAAAAATCACACATATTCCCACCCATGGTCCCACCGTGCAGTGATAGGCACAACTGGTTTCTGGCATCTATTTTTACAGACCAGTTTTCTACTTAGATACTCTCATAAGATGACAACAAAATCACTAGTTATCAGGTCCCTTTTCAACCCTCTCCAACCAGAGGTTCTAGGACAGGGTGCCTACCTCATTTGCCCCTACATCTTCCACTTAACCCATTTTAAGAACGCTGTCTGCATTCTTCCTCTAAAGTTGAGTGATTCTCAGAGTTTTGGGTGCTGAGCCCTTTGCTCCTTCCATCTCTCTTTCTTCAACAGAACATTCAAACAAGTTCTCATCCTGCTTTAGCCCTAATTTACTTTCTGTAATTACCACCTTCTAAAATAACCTTTCAGAAGTGATGCAGTAAGACACAGAGTGTAAGGCACAGTCTGAGGTTAGCCCTTGGGCCAGTCCTCATTGTACCTTGCACACCTGGATTGTCTCAGTGGTACCGACGGTACTGCCCTTTCATTGCCCCCTCTGCATTTGATCCTCACAACTGCTGTGCAGACTGGCAGAGCATGTGCTGTTATTCCTGTTTTGCAGATGAACATATAAAGTCTGGGAGGTTAAGCAGCTTGCCTGGGAGAAAAGAATGAGTATCCAGGTCTTTGCAACTCCTGAACACAGGACTCTCCATTTTAATTCTTGCCCTTAATTGTTGCTTATGATTTTGGAACTTAGGGCAGTTAGTATGTTTTCAGTATTTCTCCTTAAAGATGGATTATTTTCTAAGGTAAATCTTTGGAAATCTTTTTGGTTAGGGATTCAGAGCTTCATACATTATTTTATTTTGAGGTTCCTTAATTATTTATTACCTTGAGAAGGCTATTTACATAAAGCAAATATTTTGCTTTAGGAGAGTTTATAATAGTCTACCTTTTATAGGATTCCCTGCTTAAAAGTCAAAACAACTTCTTGGGAATAAGAGTTTTCCAGTCTATGGTTAAGAAAATACTCACAGATTAACTTAATTCATTATCACAGCTGGATGCAGTATCATCAGGATCCAACCTGAGCCCTTCCCACTCTGTGCTTCTCTTTTTGCCGCAGGGTCACTTACAGCATTACACACTCACACAGTTAAGATGGTAAATCCCATGTGATATATAGCATGGGAATAACATTAACTTAGAGGAACCATTTAGTACATTGTTTGAAAATGTGAAGCCATCACATGGATGATAGATTGAGCAACCTACAATTAACCTGAGTTAATATTTGGCAGAGCCAGATGGACAGCTCTTAACTTTTAATCTCACCAAAGTGCTTCATGTTCTTCATAAATAAAGAATAACAAAAACAAATACACTTTAATTCATCATCTTCTCTGGAACATGGTGTGTTCACCTAATTGTCTTATCTCCATTTGTGAACTGCAAATGTGAGTTTGGCTGCAGCAAGACCAAGCCCAGAAAATCATGAAGTAGGCAAGGGTAGCTTTCTGCATCTCAACAATCCTCAGGAGCAACTCCTTTCTTCCTCCTCCCAGTGTGCCGTGGCTTCTTCTTCTTGGATGCCTTTGGCTTACTAGTTCTCTTCTCATTAAAACCACCTCGCCTGAACCCAGATGGTCATTTGGTTTCACTATAGTGCAGTTGGATAATGAAGTTTATTGTGTTCTCACCCCCGGAATTATTTTTGTTTTGACAGGGGAAATCCTTGGCAAAGATATTTAGGGACCAGGAAGATGTTCCCAGTCACCATCAAATGATGTGATTTGGCTCAAAGTTCTCAATTGTTATGCATGCCATTTTGGTTGTAGAATTGTAGAATGCCATGTGGAAGATGTGGGTACCTTTTCTGGTTTACTCGTATACTAGATGGGGATAACAAGAAACCTCCCTCCTATAACTGTTGGGAGAATTCAATTAGTGTGTGTAAAAGCACTTGGAATAGTTTGGCAGTTAGGAAGGACTCAGTTCATTTTTAGACATTCCTTCCTCCTCGCCCTTCTTTTTCCTAGGAGAGGCAATGTGGTATAGCAGAAAGCACATGGGCTTGGGAGTCAGGTGATCCTAGGCTCAGATATAGACCCTGCCATTCACTAGTTATGCAATCACAAGCACATAACATTTTCTGAACTTTAATTCCTTTAATCAAGGGATAGAGTATCGCATATGGTCGCATGAAAATTAAGTGAGATAACGTATATGTTATGCTTAGCAAGGTTTTTTGTACCTAGCAGACATACATTAGTGAATTATTATTATTAATGCTAATAAACGCAAAAGACATACATATATTGAAGTTCAACAGCACAATTTTTAAGTTATTGGCTCTTGTAGTCATAGTTACATAGTTAAGTGTAACTATGAATGTCACCTTTTTTGCATTTAGTAAGAGTTTCTAGGCTTATGAACCCTAGGTATCGTTCTTTCTGTATTTCCCTGCTATCCAAAACAAACAAATTAAAAAACCTAATAGTATTATTTGGATAAAACATTTTAATGAAGTATTAGGGAGGTGTTAACGAGTGGATTGTTGAGATAAAAAAGATGTAATATATGGGAAAACATGAAGTATATGTTAACAAGACCTCAATAAACAATAAAAGGAAAATATAAAAATTCTTTTAAGCAAAATTACGGAGAAAGGCCTTTGAGCTTTAATTGAAGAAATTAGCAAACTTTGAAAATTCTTTTTGCAGCATCTTTCAAGTTCTATTACCAGTTAAATTAGTTTATGATTGTTTTAAAATATATTTTAAATAATTCTCTTTATATCAGAAAAATAAACAGTGTGTATATACCATATACAATAATAATATACAATCTACTTTACAATAGTTTTAGAGTTGTTTCATTAAATTGGTTCTAGCTGTTTCTATTAAACTTCCTGAATTTCATTTTTTCCCTTCCTCCATAGAATCAACGGCCAAATCCTTATATTTGTTTCCTCTTTTTCATCTTTTTCCAGTCTATGCCTGGAACGGAAAACACAGTCTTTTGCTTTTGGGTTCGGTCCTATTGCCAATACCTTTTACTTTATTATTACTACAGCCAACTACAGTCTATAGGCCTCTATTTTCCTGTCTCATAAGAGTCTCCACGATTTGAACTATATTCAACTTTCCCATTTTTCTGATTATGAAACTAAGGCTGAGGGAGGTTTAGCATGTTGAACATAGTCATACATATCTTTGTGCTTTCAAAGTTCTAGGTCTTATCATTTAACCATGCTACTCTTTCCTAAACACGGCCTAAAATTTTCCAAATTTTTCTATGAATTTTCCTATCATATATACCTATTAAGTTCTTTACTTCCTTCTAAGGCCAGTATATATCCTACCTTTGCCACAAAATTCTCTTGAAATCCTGAGCTAATTGCATTGCTTTCTATTTACTGTGATCGTGACAGTTTTATTTTAATATTAATTTTAAGTTCAGGGTACATGAGCAGGTTTGTTACACAAATAAACTTGAGTCAAGAGTGTTTGTTATACACAGTATTTCATCACTCATGTATGAAGCCTAGTATTCATTAGTTATTTTTCCTGAACCTCTCCCTCCTTCCACCTTCCACTCTCCGATAGGCCCCAGTGTGTGTTGTTCCCCTCTCTGTGTCCATGTGTTCTCACAGAATAGTTTGTTCTAATTTCAGTATAGCACTTAATATTGTTTGCTTTATATTAAAGTTATTTACATCTGTCTATATACTCAACTAGATTTTAGATTCTTGGATAGCAGGGAGAATGAGTTATCTGTCTTTTTTAAAAAATCTGTTTTCAGACAAGTGTTCTTAGAATTGTCTGTCTTATTTAATTATCCTCCCCTTTCATACAAAAATAGTGTCCTCCAAAGTACTTTAACACTAATAGATTTTAAGTCAATGTTAAAAAAATTGAATTAAAATTTTATTTTAAAAGAGAAGTGTTGTGCTGTTTTTGAGAAATCTGTGTTTTTTCTTTTCTAATGGCAAATTTTAATGGAAAAATAGCAATTATTCATTAAGCGTTCTTACATAGGATAACTTTTCTCAACAAGGATATATTCTGTATAGCTAAGAAAAATGTATGCCAAGTTTACTTGTTGTCATTTAAATATTTACCAAGTTCCCAACATCTAGCACTACAGATAAATAATACAATTGTCAAAGTAGTACTGAACATAAAAAGTAACAGTCTTTGATCTTAAATAATATAAACTAAAATGAATAAACTCTAACAATAACAATAATGACGATGAAAAGACTTCATGAAAAACACAAGGGATGTTTAAAAAGTTATGTGCCTGTCTGAATTACAAACAGTTACATTTCCCAAGTAAGCTTCTATCTTACCAACCTTTCCACACATAATATCTGTGGACTCAGGAAAGAAGCAAAATAATTGTTTGAAGGCATTGGAGAAGAAAAAGAGCAGGCAGATACCAGAGAGGTTACTCAGAAGAAGAGGAAGACAAGGGATTAGTTTACCTTTTTTATTATTTCAAGCTTTTATCCTGAGACCAGGTCTCAGGATAGGGTAGGAAGGCTAGAAATTGAATAGGAATCTTACTTTGGGAAAGACTTTGGGTCAATAACAGCTGCTAGAAAGTGAAGCGGAATCTTTAAAAGTGAGGCAGAGGGGGTGAGCCTAAATTCTACATATAAGCTATGCATATAATCTATGCATATAATCTCTGGATGACTGTTGAATTATGCAAGTGAGGGCAAACTTTAAGGAGTCCAGCTAAAGCTAAAATAAGTGAACTTAGACTTGAGCTGCCACTTATTACAAGGGAGACAGAGCTTGCACTATGGGCTTAACCTAGTTAGCTGTCTGCTTAAA